GCTCTCGAGATGACGGAGGCGCCCGGCCGTGTCACTTGGGAGCCCCCCGCCGTTGAGAGAGGAAAGCCCGTCTGAGTCTGAGAACGAGGGGGACACCCACTTGGCGCTCTCAGCTGCCAGCGCCTTGATTCATGACAATGAGGTGCTCGCAGAGCAGCTCGGCGCCTCGGATGCGGCGCTCTCGGCGGTGCTCGCCGAGGTCCAGAGCCTACGCGCCCAGGCAGCACAGCTCCCCATGGCTCAGAATCAGACCAAGCAGCTCATTGCCTGCCTCTCCGATGCTTCCGAGCAGCGGGAGGAACTGCTACGGCAGCGGGCGCGCAAAAGCACAAGGATTGCAGAACTGGTGTCCATCATGCACGACTCCTTGGAATGTTTCGCAGATCTGCAGCGAGAAGCTTTGGTGGAGGCCATGGCCACGGAAAATCATGCGCTCTGGCGCATGGTCAAGATGGCTCAGACGGCAGCCAGCACACCGGTCCGCCCTCCCCCAGTGATTCGATGGCCCTTCATCTCCCGGAGAACGGGGCGGGAGGAGGTATGTCGGCGGCCGCCGAAAGAGGAGGTGCCCCGCAATGCTCAGAGTGCCCCACGCGCTGGCGCTGAGCAAGAGCCAGCAGCACCAGCAGTGCCAGCAGCGCCCGTGTTGAAAATGACGCCCAGCGAAGGTGGGGCAGCGCTGGAGAAGAGTGAAAGGCTTCAAACTGCTCTACTCGCAGCAGAGGATCTAGATGATTCAGACGCAGGTGCTTCTGTGTCCACAGTTGAGGAGCCAGAGAAGCCGACGCAAATCATCGATGAGGTATGAGGCGATGTGAGGCGATGTGAGGTGTTCACGTCAAAGGAACCTGGACGCCTGGCACTGCGAACGGAGAGGAAAAGAAGGTACTGGTATCTCTTTGTTCGAAGTCCACGCTTCCGTGCATTGACTTTAAAACCAATGAACCATGGATAGAAGATTTTTAGAGGCCATGAAGATATATAGATTCTTGAAGGTCGGGTGAGCAACCCACCAATGTCTCCTTCTGCCCCACGACCGTAAGTCCTGGATCAAATTTGGTCCGGAGAGGGCTTTTCGGCATGCAAAGTCCGTGTCGACGTAGGACGTAGAACAACAGCCCTGCCATGGCTTGGCGCTTCATTTGGCTCTTTGCTTTGCTGACGGGTGCTCGGGGTACCAATCGAAGCACCGGCACCGATCGATTCTATTCCTTTTGGCAGACCGTGGTGGAAGCGTGGGGCGATCCAAGTCCGCTGATCTTCAAATCAGGTGCTCCACAGGTGTTGACCTTTGCGGATCGCTTCGGGGCCATGGGGCCTCTGATGTGTCACGTGGCGCGGAGCGTGGAGATGGCCGGCGGCTTCCTGCGGATCTTGGGCTTGCAAAAGGGCCGCCGAATCCAGCTGCCCAACAAACATCTGCACCGGAACAGCTCTCTGGATGTCTTCTTGAAGAAGTATGTGCTCTTGTCGCGCTCCTTGCAGAAGATGCCGCCCAATACCACCGTGCTCTTCGTCGATGCCTTCGACGTGCTCTTTCAGCGTTCGATCCGCGACGTGGTCCACACCTACGAGCGCCTGGCCAAAAGCGCGGCGCAGGCCCATGGCGTTTGGCCGGTCGTCTTCGGGGGGGAGATGAATTGCTGGCCCTGGCCACACAACGGCAGCTTCCACCTGCCGCGCCGCCGCCGGCATCGCCAGCAGCCCATTCCGCGCGGCAACCGCAACGGCACCTGGCATTTCCACATTCCCCGCGGTGCCGCCCTGGCGGCCGACTACCACGAGGAGTGGCGGTATCCGTACCCGCGGAGCGGTCGAGGCTCGATCACGTCCAGCGAGGTCTGTCGGGAATGGTTGCTGCAACGTGGTGATCCTCAGTGGTCCGGCCAGGGTCGCGGGGCGAGGGCGCCCGTCTTCCCGTTTCTCAACTCGGGCACCTTCGTCGGCCGCGCCGCGTCCATTCTGCGCCTCATTCGGATCATGGTGCGGCTCTATCGGCGGACGGGGGAGATGGATGACCAAGCTCTTCTGGTGCAACACGGTGGTCTTGTTTAGAATGCTTTAGAGAGGATATTTTCTTATATATGTCGGCCTATACTACTATATACCTCAAACATGGAAAACATATGAAAAATATTGAAAAACACACAAGAACACTAAACCATCATTTTGAGTCTTAGGCTATATAGGCTATATAGTATAGACCTGCATAGCTTTGCAGGCTTAAATTTAGCTAGCATTTGGGAATACAAACTGTATTTGGAATCCTGTCTAGATTTTACAGGTCCGCACGGGCTTTTACAGGGTCGAACGGGTACGCCTTTTCCACCCGGGTTTTGGACACCTCACCAGGCACACCACTCCCCGCCATCAGCTGCAGTTTCCCTCTCACCCCCCTCCGGTTGGGATGCATCCACAAGAGCAGCACCTGCGTCAAGTAACGCTCGATGCTCCGCACGATTCGCGTACGTGGGTTTGTGCACCTTGTCAGTACACAAAACCTCCCAATAAAATCTTCGTCTGTACTGCAGCTTTGACTCATTGGGTTTTCCACAAAATTGGACATGTGTGTTTGGTCCACCATTGAACGCCAAAGATGCCAAAACATGTGTAACTTTGGGGTGATGCTGTACCTGGCTTCTTTGAAGCCGTGAAAGCTCACAAAAGCCAACCGGGAGTAGGCGTGTAGAAAATGTTTGGCAGCCGAATTTATTCGCGCAGCATCTGTGGAACTAATCCACAAATTGTTTTTTGTACAAAGTGGACATCCAAAAGTTCAAAGCTCTGGTTCCGGATGCCTTACTTGATGACACACAGTAGAGAAGAACTCAAGTTGCGGACCCCTAAACTTTGAAGGAATTGCTCAAAGGAAGCCTAAACAAACCTCCAGGGAACTATCAGCCTGAACCGTTCGTGAACTGATGATTCCAAGTCCTTCAGCTGGCAAAAGTATTCCAGGAACTGGCACAGCGCAGTGGTCAAAGCCCCTTTGCTCCAACCACCGACCGGTTCCTCCGAACCTTTCCAACCAAGCGTAGAGCGATCCACCTTCCGAACGTAGCTGGTTTTCCTGTGTTCCGTAGCAATACGGAAGGAGGCTTTCAGTTTGGATCGAGTTTACCCACTGAAAAAAAGAACACACAAAGCCCAACAAAAATTGCGTCAACCAAAGGTTGGGGATCCACACAGTACTCGACGTACAAGTCTGACAAAACCTGCAGCCTTTTCTCGATAGATGTCCCAGGACACACTTGCTGTAGGATAGCAAAGCCACATGCTGCCCAAGCTTTTCCGACCCCCAGGCTAACAGTGTGAAAAAATGTCGACCTTATGAAATGCAGCCTTTTTGTCAAACTCGTGCATCAATTTCCTAGTGAAGACCGCTTCTTCCTCCCAAGGAAACTCAGCGTGCATAGTTGCGTAGAAGTTTGGGTTCTCCGACCTTGGGGGGACGCTGCTAAACAAGTTCAAACACCAAGTTAAGTTTTGGCCCAACATAAGCATAGGAACACTAAGAACACTGAACAAGTTTCAACCAAGACACACACCCTCATAGTCATAATGGGGGCGCCCACTAAGACAGAAGTGGCAGATTCCGGTGCAATCTTTCTTGGATGCTGCAGCTTTTGGCACATTCCTGTAGCTGCGTACTAAATTGGCGGAAGTAGCCTTGATTGATCTTTGTTCGATACCCTGTAGTATACTGTTTCAGCGTGATCCCCAAAATGTAAAAACCAAAAACAATTGAACCTGCAACAAGAAACCAAGTATGGCCAGTCGCCCTTGTTTCCAAGGCATACCGGGTGTAGCTTTCCACCAGACGCCAAAGGGACCCCATTCCGAGAAGCATGGTCTAAAGATCCAACCACGACCTCCAGCAAGTCGGACATCACACTGTGATCATCACGGTAATCCTCCTTAGACACGAGGCTTTTAGGATGAGCACTTCGATCTGTGGACTAGGATTCCCAAACACAGTTTGCCCCCCTAGCCGGCGAAGACAAAACAAACTATCGGAACTCAATTTTAGCCAAACTACTCGAAGCATAGCGCTCAGGAGAAATCGCGTTTCAAATGCATGCCCGACAAAGTTCAGATGTGGGTCATCCAAAACTTCATGTGTGATAGGGCCCATCTTGTTGCTAATAGTCCCACGGCCCATTGCACAGTGAAAGCTCAAACATAGGCACCCATCCTTTTTTGTAAGTGGTGCCCTCATCCCCATGCATGTAGCAGGGGACGCACTCTTCCAATTTCAAAGCGTTTTCTGCGACAAGTTTAAAGACCTCGTGATTTGGATACAGGCGTTTATATCGTTTCCAGAACTCCAAGAGAGATGGGCCAGCATCCGCCAATCTTCTAACTTCAGGTCCCATACCCAAAAAGCGATCCAGCTTCCCAGCCTTGTCCAAAGTCTGTATCCAGGAAGCTACAGCTATGAAGGGATACTCCTTGTACTGGCCAACTTTCCCCTTTGAGACAGGCACATCAAATCGAAGACCATGCCGCAGAAATGCCCTGGACACCAGCACTTCCTAGGATGGGGTGCCCAAAAATTGAATGAAGATTGCACTTGCCAAGCCAGAAGGGTAACACCTTAAGCGAGTATATTGTTTGGTGATATATGATTCAAATGGAAAACTTGAAGGACCAAATTCAGGTTTCAGCTTTTGTAGGGTCACCATCCCTGAGATCCCAAAGCACAGGGCACACCCGCGCGACCTTGGCCGGTCTTTGCTCCAAGTGGTGATCATCGACGCGTTCGTCGTAGGCGATGATCGAGTTGGCCCTCTGAATGATGTCTGTGCAAGGGGCCTAGGATGGATCGGTCAAGAAGTTGGCCAAACCCCGGTTCGAAAGAACACAACATGATGCCATCAACTTTGGGGCTACGGCTACACAAAGCTCAAAACATAACGCAAAACTCTCTCACCATTTGTCCACTACAAGCACCTCGAAACATCGCAAACGAGATGCACCCTTGGCATAGCTCCATGCCAAATCCAATGCGGCCTCTGATGGACCTGGCATGGAAGAGCGCGTGGAAGCTTCTTATCTGAAACAAAGCTTGGGGTTGAACTGTCGATCTTCACCTCTACAGGTGTTGGGAGTGTATGGGTCTGAAATGGTCGGGAGCAAAAACAAGCACCTTTCCTGTTTTGTCCTAGCACGCGCTTTGCCCAAATTGAGGCGCATGGTCAAGTCTGCTGTCTACCCATATATGGATCATACGGGTTCTGCGTGGTGTATCCTTTCAGATACACTCCCCCTAGAAAATGAAAAGCCAGGACTGACAAATCCTGGGGACATACCATCCAAAAAATGGACCCAACATGATCAAAATAAACATTTGCTGGCTGAAGTTGATTGACTGCTAGGTAACTGAAAATCAACTGACATTGGGTCCCTCAAGGCATCACACCACCTAACACGGCTTTCAGCCACTGAGATCGAGGTGGTATGGCGATCCACAATGAATCTTTCCACCTCGAGCAGCTCCTTGGCAGTTGTGACGGAAGGAATGTGACTGCCAGAATTGCAAGATGGCAGTCGATCATGAAGAAAACCTTATAGTTGCTGGTAAGATTCTCCACCTCAGTACTCGATTGCGTTCATTTCTTTGTCTTTCCCTTTGGCTTTGGTTTGGCTTGTGGTTTCTCTTCTTTCTCATTGTTCTCACTCGACTTGTTGTTCTTGCCAGGTTTGACAGTAGCCTTCTTGATCGTAGCCAGCAACATCCTTGGTACCAGGATGGAAATTGTGTTTCATTTCCTCAGATTTCCATGGGACAGCCACTCTATGCTATAAGGGGCTGCCAAGTAGCTTTTGCCTGGACTCAAGGGACAGCATGTCAGCTGACCTTGCACAGAGAATGGGCCATGGTATTCGAAGGTTTTCCATATTGCGATGAGAACAGTTTTTGGTTCCATTTGATGAGAGCGTGTGGAATTGACATGACGCTTTACTCTAGACACCTGCGACATGAACTCAATGCCGAGTTGCGGTTTCTTTGACTTTTCCTTCAGCTGCGAGAATTTATCACGAAGCCTAGGTGGCCATCTTCGACGGCTATACCCTGTGGTCTTTCCACTGGCCATGAAAAAACCTGAAGCCCCTCCGATCCACCGTGGCTTGTCAATTTTGCGACGATGCACCACCTGTAAAGGTTTATGCTTGTGAATTACATGTGAACTAACCACCACAGCTACGAATTAGGTGGGCGTTGCTGGGCCTTTTGAAACTTTGGTACACCAAATATGTACAAAATGGACCACCGGAAGCGCCATCGCTGACAGTGTCGCCACCACTGCGGTCATTTCGACACCCTTGGATACCTTAGTGGCATGTGACAAAGGCAGCCTACTGCCAAAACCAACTTTGGGGTAATGTTTGGGGCCAAAGCCGAATCAAGTGGAAAACACATCATAGCTGTAGATGAGTCGAGGTTCCTTTGTATTTTTGAATTAAAGCTGCCTCCAGAAACGATGGTCCTACTGGCACCACCGAGATGTACAGGACAATAAGTCTTTCCCATTGTTGCCTCTCACTGGCGTACCCGTAAATTGAATTCCGGAACCTGAAGTAAGGGCAATGTGTCCACCCAATCTTGAACACAACAGGCCCTGCTCGTTTGATCACATCGTCGATGGTGTTGCAAGCGTGGGCTAAAACTTTTCCAGATGAACTTCCCTTAGGTGGGAGCTGGCAATCCAACTTCGGGTCATCTCGTATTCTCTGCAGGCACTCGGCAGTCCGTTTTAGTTGGAGTATGGCATCGTCCAACTGGGAACACCATGGTTGTGGAACAGCAAGTGCCTTTCAGGGAAGGAAGTGCCTACCAAAAATATCAATAGTCAAACGCAGCACTCTAAGAGAGTTTTGCCCTGTTTGTCCTGCGCCAAGGTTTGTGGAGCTGGAACTGTCGTCTTTGGCGCCTGGGCGTGTCAATCATGGGTGGAAGGAAGCCTCCACAGGAAAGATCAACCCGCTTTGTGTCCAAAAAAAGTGGCCGGTAAACATATTAGGTGTCAAGCGGCTTGACGATTATATTCGATGAGTTCCAGAAGCCAAAGGTCTTCATCATCTCCACCGTCATTGCACGCCAATGCGCTCATGGACAGCGAAAAGACAACTGCATGATCAATGAGACTTACGCTAAAAAATGGATAGTTGCCATATGTTGCCATCAATTGAACCTACAGTAATAGAAGCGACCAGAATGAAACATATTTGAAATCTATGCACTTTTGTGAGCCCAAAGGGTCGATAAAAGGGGCTACAGCAAACTGATACGATTACCAAAGGTATCAACCGGTTGGATTTAGGCCCCGTAAGGTTGCAGGCAGAGAAACTTCTCTGACGTGGAGCCCTCATCAAGCATGATGTCCGCCTTGAGCTCCGCAAGGCTGCTGAAAACGGCCTTCAAATTGAGCCTGACATTCTCCCAATCCTTCATGAGCCTGGGCTGGCAGGAGTTGGGATCAGGTTTTAAGTGGGGCTGCAATATCCAGTTCAACACTTGGCATGCACAGTTGGGACCCTGGCTCTTTTGTCATCGGATTGGTTGCCCCATCACCTTCAATCTCAAGCTTCCCCAGATTGGACTGAACAGCCATCATCTTGTTGTGAATCGCATCCATGAACTTAACGAGCTCCGGCAGAACCTGGCAAGATTATCAATTCCTGTCAGCGTATTTTAATATGCATGCATGCGTGTGATTATAGTGTTCTGATGTGTTCTGTTTGTTTGAACGATTTTTTGGGATCCTGCCTTGTCCCCCAACTTTTCAGCAGCTGGAGACGAGCCCTCTTCGGTGATCGCTTTCATGGTTGCAACCTTGATGGGTTCCACTGGCTGATTGTCCTGACAAGTGTCCAAGCCAAGGTGGAGGGTTGACTGTGGTTGTTTTTTTTGATACACGCAAACTTTACTTTAATGCGGTGGCTTTCCTGACAAGTGTTGAAGGGGACCGCAAGACGAGACCAGATGCTTTGGCTCTTCTTGTTTCCACTTCAAGAAAACACAACTCGAAACCCAACACCCGATCAACCTGTTCCCAAGGAACTTTGGTTTGGAGTGGCTCATAATGCTGCGAAGCGTCATCGGTGGCATCAACAGCTTCTTGGCGCTTCAGCAGCTCGGTCTGACGGATGGTCTGCTTGGTGGACGTTTCCACAAAGTATTCCGGAACCGAAGCATCATATTTCCAAGCCCTGGCACGTGCACAGATATTCTGAACATGTCTATTACTATAGGACTGGTGGGCTCTCCAATTTTTCCAGGCGTGTGCCAAATTTTAGTGCTAGTCTGGTCAAACTATAACCCACTCTGGTCCATCGTCACATAGGTGTTTAAGTTCAAGCCTCAAACACAGGTCAGGCATACCGCTTCAGGGCTGTAGGGAATCTCTCACAATATCGAATGATCGCATCGATCGTCTCCCTGGGCCGTGTTCAAAGCAAGATGCTGACCGCAGAAATGGTGAATTTACTTTTAACCAAATTCCAGAAACTGCAATCCATCGCGTCACCACTGGCGGGTATACGTGGGAAGCAATCAAATTAAAACACTCTTGAGGGCGAGGTACGGGCTGAAGTCACCACTCTTCTCCATTTTCTCCCTGGTCATCCACTGTCCAAGGATCTCCTGTTCCTTTGATGTCATTCTCTCTCGCACCAGAATCACCCGGCTGCGAAATTCAGCCTTGGAGCCGAACAGATTTATATATAATTCACAGAGATCCGAGGACATTGGATGAGAAACTTGTTGGGACATGATCTTCAGAGTCAGCGCGACTAATGGACCAACGAGTCAAACCACCGAGATGCAATCAAGAAACTCTGAGCGCTTTGTGACTCCTGTTGTCAGCCCCAACCTTGGAGATCGCCTCGATCAGAGCTATTTCCAGCCACTCGCGCTCCTCGCCACCTTTCTCATATGCGCTCTGGGTGTCCTCGTCCACGTGACTCTTGCCCTTTTTGGTTTTCTGACAAAGTCTTCGTAGTCTCATCCTCAAAGCATCGTGGCTCATCAGCTTGCTTCCATTTGGAAATTCGAGCAAGTCCTTGCCCTCTTCCGCCTTTGCGCCATCTTCATTGGTTTCAGTATCATTCTTCTCACTGGTTTCGTCGCCAGCGGACAGCATGTGTACTGCTTGAGAATCTGGAGCAGAGGCCGTTTTGGCTGATGTTGTAGATGAAGGGGTCATTGAATGGAGAGTCTTGGGAGGAGGCGTCTCGAAGGACGTCATTTTTGTTTGCTTCTCCTCCTGCTGCTTCAACTTGGCCTCAAGTTCCGTAATCCTCTGCATGGCAACCAGGAGCAAAGCATTTTGGGATTCGGTCACCGGTTCCGAAGGCTGAGCGCTGACATCCTTCGCGGCTGTCTCCAAAGCCTCCAAAGCCGGCGCCCTCACAGGCGTTGGCACTGGCGCCGGCGTTGGCGCCGGTTCCTTTGGGGCCTCAGCTTGAGACTCTGCAGGAGTGTCCACGAAAAGGTTGCGCTTGACTGTCGGCTGAGAGTCCACCTCCTCCTGAACTTGGGCTGCCTTCGCAACTTTGGCCTCCGGTGACACCTTCTCCTCCCTTGCTGGGGCTGGTCGCTTCAACTTCTCATCCAACGCAGCCACTGTCAAGGCAGACTCTACTTCTCCGCTCTTCTGAACTTTCTTCTCCGGGGATAGCTTCTCGTGTGTCTCTGGCTGAAGTCGCTTGTGCGCACCCTCATCTCCAGTCTGGCCCTCGACCTGCGTGGAGACATTGGATGAGCCATCTGCAGACTCGTGCTCCTAAAGAATGTGTGTTCATGTGGATCGGCATCGATCGGCGCACCCTCAAATAACAAGTTTTTTCGTATACCGTATACGGTATACACACCAGCACAAGAAACAAGGTCCTTCCATTCACGGGATAGCCGTTCGATCTCTTCTGGCTCCTTGGTGTGCCATGATTGCGCAGCACGGAAGTTATTTCAATCTGATGTGGGAAGGTTTGATAAAAGCAAAATAATCTCTTTGCAGTTTGATGGGCCC